TCCCTTTCACATCGAGAACATCCGACTAAGGTGCTTGTTCAAACCAGCCAACCCAGAAAAGCATTAGATTTATGCATTAAGGCTGAAACTACACCGACGTTACAACATTGTAATCCACTTGTTAGCTGGATTGAAATATTGTTCTATATAATTGGTAACAAAATTCAAAACATATTCTCTGAATCGCACTTGCATAATTGAGACTGCTCTTCCCAGTTTTTAGCCAACACTGAATTCAAACTGTGCTAACAATCTACGGGTATGATAATCGGGTCACTTAGTTCGGGTTAAATAAGATTAGTTTCGCCAGCTGATTACCCTCGGTCTTTGACTACTATTATTACTAAAATATATACGAAAATTGCTTATATGCGTCACGCGTCAAAATAAGCATTCATGGGGCATAGGGAGTCGATCTGACATTGTCAATTCACTCGTTTCCATCATTATGGTAAACACAGAAAGTGACGGTGATGGTTTTCGTGGTAAGGTGCTGCAGGAGAAGCAAACGCATCAGGAATCGGTATCTTAGGAAGTTGTCTGCTGGTTGTGATTTCGATCTGCTTTGACGTGGTTTTTCGTTGAACTTTCCGTCAGAGTTAGGGAACAATGAGTAGAAGCTCGAGGGATCAAATCTGCTAAGAAAGAACGAAATTTTATATACTATTATTTACATTATTACGTTTTGCCGGGTGGTGGGTAGTATAGAACTCCATAGAAATACAAGTGTCCCTTAATTTTTTGCTCGAAGTTGATGTTTTTCATTGCACGAGCAGGACGAAGTTTGTTTCCGAATATATGACACCATTTGCTTACGAAAATTGAACAGTTTTGACTACTTTTAAAGTTCACTGTTATTTTGTGTTAGTAGATCCTGCAGAAGATGTATGTTGGCTGGCAAATAATTTATGTTTTAGGTAGGCCAGCTATAACTGGCGAGCTTCTGATCACCGAACTTGATCACCCAATCAAGTTCTGCAATGACTGACAGGCTCATTGACAAATCTGGTGATCAAAGTGTACGAAATGCCACGAACCCGATATTAAAGTTATCATGGCAGAGGGACATCGATCCACAAGGACGTACCTTTATAATCTATTATATCGTTTAATGTTGTTGCAGTCGAACAGAAAGCAACATTTTTATTTTATAATTTCCATTCAACTCATTCCTCTTCTTTTCTTAATTTGAAAGTATCTCTTTTGTACTTAAAATCGACACTTAACGGTTCTAACTGCCTCCTAAAAGAACAAGACTGGGAAGCAAAGAAATGGGGAGTCTCGGGAATCCCTATGACCGAAATAGACCCGTTACCACTTCCACTTAGTAAGGCAAATTGTTGCTTAGTCGGACCATTAGATGAGTGGCATTGGAAACCGCAAACGTGCATGATTGTGGCGGAAATTAAAATTCCCTCTTGTAGTCTCTTTCAAATACTGCTGCGCCCTCTTCTATGCGTTCAATCAAACGTCGTTCCACAAGGCATACGGGTACCTCATAATTAAAATTATGATTACACAATAGAGTATTTAACAAAGACTTGCTGTCTAAACAGACGGCGCAACTTCACTGCGAATAGCAGGAATAGATATTGAAAACCTGATTAGTTCAACAAATATCTTTCTTTCTAGGCCATTTTAGTCCTACCTCAAGGCTTATTTCAAAATCTAGACATTATGCCTGTTTGTTACGCGAAGTACTGCGGGCCATTGCTCCTTCGTTCCCAGGCTTACAATGATTTTGTACAAAACAAGCGATGCGTGTCCTGGCCAGCGTACAGTTCTGACATAATGCTTACGACTCCATACATAACGAAGTAATCGCGGACCAGCGTCTCCTATTATAAGCAAACAGGAACAGCCACTGAAGATGACATGAAAAAAACAAAAAATCACGCGAAAAATCATAGGAATGAATCCGACATCTGGGAGAGTTGACTGTTAAAATGTTTTTACAAATATACAAAATCATTGTACAAATTGCACGCCATCTCGACATTCACTTGTCTCATATTTGTCACAGGTCTCATCAGCCACTACCTTTATCTGTGCCACACCTACAGTAGATCGTTGTCTGATACAAGCTTGTACTAGCCTTGATCGATTCAGTGAAGGGGCCTGCCGAAAGCCAATGAAATGTGCTACTCCGAAGACAACGAAAATAGTTCCAGTAGCAAAGAAACGTAATAGGAAGGCACACCATGAGTAGATCTGGTAAGCCTGTCCGCCCCTCATCCCACTCGAAAAAATTGTGGCAGTTTGCTTCAAGAATATACGATATGAACCTGTTCCGTAGGTTCCACCTAATACTAATGCCCGGACCTGAAGAATACCTAATGGCCTAGGCAAGGGAAGTTACGATTTTGGCAGTTGTAACAGAAGTTAGCTATCTGGAAACTCTCCACCAATCATACTAACCTCCATTCACCTCAGGTAGGCGACTACCGACAACACTGAATGTTGTTCGAGTAGCGACAGGGGCTTGACTGGATCCGAAGTAATACCCACACAGTAGCAGATTTAAGTTGGAACAACTTTAGGCGTGCTATATGCTTTCTTTCTTAAAAATGCCGAAACGTATGCTCCTAAAAAAAGAATATCCTAAATAGAGCATAAGAACACATACATCTATGTGGTTCGTTATTATAGTTGTCATCGTCATAATTCACGAGATAGTAATAAATTTGCGCCTTTGTTGATTCGCGCTTTCTACGTCGTCGTCGTCATACCATCTATACCGCTTGTCTCGTTGGTTGCGTGCCTATGACCATTTAAAGCGACGCCTGCATCAGGGAGCAAATGCCTACCTCGTCAAAGGGAATGGTGCTCGTAGTTAGATGGTAGCCTTTGCCTTGGTGGTGACTAACAAACCTTGGCAAATAGCTTTGGTACTCCAACTGTCTTTCTGCTACTAACGTAGCTTGTCCTATAGTAGTGGCTGCCTGCTGTAACAATGTACAGGGTACAGACATCGACAAATATGCAGAAGCGGTCTTTTCGAGCCGTGCTTAGATCCTACAGCTAAACATTTCATCAGTAGAAGAGCGCATGTGGTCGTGGGAGTCAAAGGGTAAAGACCACAATGAAGTCCCTTCTCTATCAGCTTCCAGACTACGCGTGGCTAGTTAGGGGCACGAGAGCCAGCTAAAGCATGCCTCTGACGGGCCAGAGGTGTGCATGAGTTTCAGAAATATCTGCTAAGTTTCTCTAGCCTAACTTCGCCATGAGTTAGAGGTAGGGTGAGAGAAGTTTGGATAGTGACGATCGGCCAGGCAAATACAGCAGCAAGCATATAACGCGGGATGGGGGAAACTCCATGTTAACCGACAATGGTATAGCGTAACGCAGAGCCACAGTATTCCGTGGGAACGGACTCATAGAATAGCGATACAATATCGTGCAGTTGTGAATCATGCATTCGATGACCCTGAGCGTGCAGTTGAAGAGGAAAGGCGTTGAGCGTAGTGGAAGGTAGCACGAATCACCGCTGTTGATGACAACAATGAAACCTGTGCCAAAACGACGAGCAGTGCTATAGATGGTTATTATCGAGCTGAGAACAGCTAACTAGCATTTTCTATGCATGAAATGGGTAGGAAATATTGACACGTAATGCGGTTGGTAAGAATGGATTAAGTAGTATTTTTGCTCAGATGTTTTAGATGAAATGCTTGATTGAAGGTCACACATGATCATTTGCTAACAGAACAGACTTTTGGAAAATTTGTTTTCGACTTATGAGCGGAATAGCTGATATACTTGAATGTCTACTGAGACAGATGCTAAGCTGGACTTCGTGCAGCGATATACAATTCTACGTATATATAGTGCTTCGTGAAACATTGAGGTATATTAATGGAAGTTCGAGGCTACTCTTATAATGGCATTTAAAAAAACAATCATCGTAGTCAAATACAGTTCCGTCGTTAACGCACGGTTCTAGATGTGTTTGCATCGACGATATTAAAGTATTCTGGAACACGCTAAATCGTCAGCTCCTTCCTACCATAATAAATAATTGACAGCGTTTCGAAATACGTCCACAAGCCATTGAATTACTTCGTGTCACAGGGAACCACTAGTGTTTATGATTCCTGAAACAACACATTTTGCTATGTGGACGTTTGGCTTACTTCCAGATCGTTTATTTTTTAGTTATCAATTTAGAGCAAAGAAACACATTTTGCATAGATTTTTCTACAGATATTATTCTTAGACTTCCAGTTTAGTGTTAAGCCTTATTTGGTTCAGCTGCTCTGTCTTCTTCATAGTCAAGGCATTAAATATGGCCTATTACTCAGGCCTTTTACCGGCTTTTCATTTTTCTTTACTACCTATAGCTTACGATTGATGGCCGTTTGGGACATTTGACTACCTATCGAATAGAAAGCCGGTATGAAATCGACTTCGCCCCTCTGCGCGATTGTAAACGACCGCTGTCTTACTCTTAAACATCATAGCAGCCTATTGCGAAATGGCTACTTTTTCCATCACTTGCTTCGCAGTCTTTAGGATGGAACGTCAAACCTCGGCACTCGGCTCTTAGTCGTCATTGAGACTGCGGCTGACGATGCGTGGTATTAATCACAGAAGCGTCAGTTCCGCCTGTCACTGTCCTTTGCCCTGCTACACGGTCAGTATGCAACAGGATGCAGTAATTGCGGACGTCAAACGATGTATCGAGACGATCGGCGACTAGTAGTCACAAGGGTAGAAAGGATCAGCCGACACTGTTTTGGTCTGATCGGGTACGTGCGCTGCTAAAGGCAACAGTGAACACAGGAGCCAAATAGAAGAAATAAGACAGTCTCAATTCTAGTAATTATATCTGTTAGATCTCAATATGCTCATTTTTGGCCAGGCGTGACCATCGTTATCTATAATATCATATAGTAAATATTTTTTTCTACCCATTATGTAGTTTAATAGAGTTTTTGATCTCGGTAATCGTTCTCCTGATAATATTTCAGGCTCACAAATTTACCTCATTGTACACTTACCATCTCCGGCGACTGCAGCTGTGAACTCGAATAGCGTTAGCGTTATGCCAAATAACACTGGCAGTGAAGTTCGCTTCTGTTTTGTGTTCGTTGTTGATGTTAATGTTGTCCCCGCGGTTTTTGATAATAGCGATCCTGTTGATGGTAGTAATATTGAGAATGGTTGAATTTTCTGGGTGTCGGCGGCGTTTGTAGCCTCCTTCTGTAGGGCCCTCATTATATTCGAGGACGTGGACGCCGTGTTCGAAACAGACCGATCAGCAGCGAGTGACTGCAGTGATTCGGCCTTTCGAACAGCTCACGTTCGAGGGACGTCCTCGGCCTCAACTCGTCTTCACCAGCAATGCCAACAGGATGGTAGCATTTTAAAACGCTTGTCGACTTTTTGGTTTTGCGCAGTTTTCGTCTGCTGGCATCACCCGTATCGGTGTTTGCCTCATCTCCTGCCTAAGCACTTTTTTTAGGTGGCCAAAAAGTGTTTCAGTATTGGCCGTGCTCGTCGTATCTGTAATAGGAGCAATGGAAACAGTTTACTGGGGGCGTTTCCGTGCGCTATACGTTGCGCATTGATAGGCAATCACGTTCATCGCTTTTGTTGGCTAAAACAGAACACGGAGCTTACGTTCAATACACGCACGAGGTGGAACAACACACACGACTAGCACAAACACAACAACGACTAAACGTCAACCGACATTGATAATAAATCACACCATAAATCGTAATAAACGATGGCAATAACAATAATATTAGTAACAACACGCCTCGCAGTATCCGGCACCCAAATGGTTAACTCCACAACAACCACTGGATTTCTCTATTCGTCTTTCTTCCGGTCGGCTGTCGTCACAGATAGGAATGCAGATCAGTATGACACGACATTGTTACGACACAAATGATCAGAATCCGGCGAAACAAATTGACTGGACCGACGAAATACAGTTAAATGTCTACGAGATGGAGTTTCTGCGATGACAGCTGGCCAGTCTTAGGTGATAGGGCCCATACACGTCGCACTGTTGCCCGCTACACCGTCAAGTAACACCGCGGCAGAAACACGACAAGCAAGTATCATCACCTATACGACTCTGACTAAACTATTTACCCGCCACCACCCACTCTCGGATTTGCCGGAGGGGCTCGCTAATTCTATCATGAATTAGTGCGCAATAAAAATCGAAAAGCAACCACCTAGAGGCCAATACTTTCTTTTATTAAACTGGGTTAAACTATAAGGAAGTTCAAGCCGTTAACAAGCAATGCTCGTGTTGCTGCCAATGATTGCCTTTCTTTTTTACCGTCGCGTTCGCTTGGCTATTAGCTGTAAGTTTCACTTCAGAAGTTTCAAATCTTCAGGAAATGTGCTGTATTGCAGCGTACGACGCTCCGATTTAGGTTTTGTACTAAGTCATTGCATCAAGAGCCTTCTGCCCTTCCGTATGATTATCCCACGTTAGTCTTTATGTTATCAACGCTGTAGTACAGTATTGGCTAGGGGTACCGCTGTCATCTGTACGTAAGAAAATGTCACATGACTTTATGCGTACACGTCACCGAGGAACGCGGCCCCCCTGGACACGACTCGAGCACTTCTGACGAGCGCGCGAGCCTCGGCCGTTGGCTGTGGGCGAGGGAGCCAAATGGGTGGTTCTGTAGGAGAGAGTATCATGTCTTTCCCTCGCCCTTTTCTATTGCTGCCATCTATACAACACACAGACGAGCAAGAAGGCCGGGAGCGGCTGCCGGAGGCCTCTGTCGTGGTACGTGGTGGTGTACCGTGGATGGCGATGATGGTGCCGGCGATGGAGCGCCTCCTCGATGCCTGCTCCCCGGCAACCTGAAGTCCGCAGCAGGCGCCTACTGCTTTTCGACAGTGTGTCCTGCGTGGAAGCACTTCGGTTGCCCTTGTGCTTCTACGACGCCACTACCGTTTGTTTGGTAACGATGCCGGAAGGGCGAACGGGTGGGGGCGCGCACCCTCCGGAGCTGGAGCGCTCCTGTATTCCGGAGCTGCAGTCAGCCTAGGCGGGCAAAGAACACGGCGCTAACACTGGCCAGCCGCACAGGACAGCAAGCCATGAAAGAAATCACTCCGATATAAAATATAAGAGCAGGCAGACCCTCAAAAGAGCGTAGACAGAGTCGACGTTCAGTCCGCTATGTATAGTATCATATGCGTAGATATGAGACCTCATCCCATTGCTGCGACCGGCTGGGCTGATAGGACGAGAGCGAACGTGAAGAAGAGATCGCTCACGCCAAACACTGAGCAGCTACGAGTCAGCTTCGCTCTTTGGTGGGATATGTGACGCGAGTATATGGTTTAGGATAAGGTGTATATCATTTTCGATGTGTTGCCATAAGTGTTGAACCTTTGATAATGCTATTAATGGCGTCTTGTTCTCAATTTAGATATGTATGTATACGGTGTTTCTACTTAACAACTGGTCGTGTAGGGTGAATAGATGAAGAAAAAAAAAACATATGAAATGCTCTACACTATATATGTATAGTGTTCGATTACGTTCGTGCTAGGCGGACATGAGGGTTTCGTTTAGAACCTGTATTACCATTGTTTTCTCCGATGTCAAATCTAGACGTAAAGCACAGGTTTAAACTGATAGTTACACCACCGCAATTATTTCACTCTATGTATCTTTCTTTGAAACACTCTAATAATTATACTGCCGTGTTGTGGTTATTTTATCAGCTTTTTTTTTAATGTTAACGAATTTGCATTGTATTAAGTGCATAGTAACATAAAGTATAGCTTAATTGCAGACCGCTAATTGCAACTCTACAGATGTCAGGCTGTAACACTGCTACAACTCTGTTGTCCTAATTCCGTTTGCAATTACCTCATTATAATGATTCTGCTTTCCTGATTCAGTGTGTTATTTCGCCATCTGCAAGCCCGTGATATGGTTACCACATTACTCTATTCCAATGAATATATAGTTCGTTACGGTTAGTCCATTGTACTATACGCACCACAGAAATTATAGACCGATATTTTCCACTAGCAAAAATCGTCGACCCATTTTCAACAGTTGCCCAAAAATCGCTTAAATAGGCCAACCCACTCGAGATTGGTAGGAGGCCACACCATTAAAATCAATACATTGAATTACCTAGCCACATAGAATCGTAACCCGTTTCAAATTCAAACTCTATTAGTTTAGAGAAATTGTTAATCAAATCTGGGCCATTTTAGGCGGACAAGTCACCAAATAAATATACCGGCCGATATCGAATTTTGGTAATTCTATAAAAATAGATTGTTGTTAAACTTAGGTGATTGGCGCCTGATTGCATTGTAAAGTATATCTATGAAGACGCCTACATGAACACATATGACACTACGTCCGACTGAGTCTATAGATAAATGGGACAATACGCGCATAAGAAATAAGAAAGGATGCGCTGAACGGTTGCTAGTTGCTCACTAGATATGGTCGCGTTTATCATGGAAGCATGGTCGCGTATGGGTATGCACTTAAACATTCGCTAAAAAGCGTCTAATGAGTAGTTTTCTAGAATTTAACCAACCCTAATCTACTAAAGGATTCACCACCTCAAGGACAACTTAGAGTACACGTTGACCTTGTCGCTCCGTGGTACACGGTCATTCTCGTGGCCGACGACCAATGCTTCTGAGGCTATCTCGCGTATCCTAAGTGCCAAGAGTACTAAGCAGCATAATCGTCGGTTTGCTTAGAGATGAACAATTTGAGAAGGGCGTCCTCAGTATCGTCCACTGCAGGTGGAAGATCAGGGACAAGATTTAAGGCCAATGGCTGTTGCAACCTTTTGGTAATCAAGATATATGCGCATCCATACATGTTAGGACACGCTGAATATTTTAGAATGCGGCAACTGGTTAACCTGACCGCGAGAACGCCTCCTCGTATTTTAAAGAGCTTTCTAAATCCATTCGAGTCAAAGTTAACTTCATTGCAGCGAGCGAAGCAGTACACCATTGCCTCGTACAAATCGCTTATCGACAACGGTCAGATATTAGTGATCCCGGTTCTGCTTGGCTCAAAAACATGAGGAGCTGAATTAGAGCTCCGGTTAAACACGGTCGAATGATACTTTCAAAGAGTTCATGCTTCCGATGTCAGTTCGCCTTGCAACTACGTTTGATGTGTGTGACTACCGACAGGCTCTACTTGAAATCCATACAATTTTTTTTCCCAGGTCCGGATGTAATAAGGTTGCCTCTGGAAAGTTGTGTCTGTGTCAAAAAGAAAAGCAAAACGTCTTTTCTGCGTTCCTCTATCTCCTCTACGAGGGAAACAACGTATCCGTAGCCAGAGAAGCACAGCAGAACGAGCAGCTGGCTAACTCCTACATGGAAGACAATCGTTTTTGGGGCAACTGCTCAAAAAGTGGTCTCAATGATGAAGGTATATAATGGCAAAAGATTTCGATTTGGGATCAACTTATTGACGAAGTAACTGTAATCGAACAGAAAAAGAAAAGTATTTATTCCTCTTCTTTTAACAGTCCGGTACCTTGTACCCCTCGTTGTATCTCCACACGGTCTGCTAAGGTAATTCACCTAGAATTGTTCATGTCTGTCCTTTCTGTCCATTCTCATCATGCGACAGCTGGCACTCGCTTAGGCCCTTCTTTTCTGGTGCAGGCGTGCCTTACGTAACATTAATTTAATCCTCTCAGGATAACACACAGGCTTCATTGTCGCAGACGTATACATCGTTTCCTAACGTGACCAGTATTCCTTCTCTCCCAGTTATTCCAAGTCTCCGGAAGGATCCAGCACACTTCCAAGTGAGGTCTGAACGATGTTCTGCTTTACGTAAAGTGAAAGATCACTTACGGGCAACATCAGCATCGCTCGTCGAATGCTTTGCAAAAAAGACATGACCTTGAAATGTGGTTCATTCAAACCAAGTGAGATGAATGGCGAAGAAGTCAGCTTTAAACATAACCGCATAGGGTATACGTCTAAAAGCCCATCCCGATTAGACATCAATGGAAAAAAAGAAGGCAGTGGTGAGTAGTGAAAGACTGGCGATGGTGGAAACGACTGTCAGCTAAAGTCGTGTAACTTTTATGTGCTTGCTGATTAGTACGCGCACAAACGTGCCAAAAGAAAAGAACTTAATGAGCTAGCTACAAAAAGCGAGATGACGTAGGCAGTTTTTTGAGTGCCACGTGTACTATGCACCAACCATGATGTTCCTATGAATATGTTTCAACTGTAATGTTGCAAAATAATAAATATATGTAGGACGAGCTACTACTAGGACGTTATAGCGCAAACAGCCTTAGTAATGTGTTATAACTAATTAACCCTGATCGTTTTAGGGCTAGATAAATAAGTGTGCTAGAAAAGAAGTGGTCGCCTGGCGAAAATGTGGGTTCATTTCAGTTATACCAACAAGAAAAAAAAACAAAAATTAATTAAGAATAAAAAATATATTAACACCTAATCCTAATGAGCGTTATTATTGGCGGAACATGTACTATAAGAAGTTGTTCAATATGGAACGTTTCTTATATTTATAGCGGAACCTATAGTTGTATTTGTTCTCTGGGAATCTGAGACAGTTTACCCAGTTATTGTCATTCGGATTTTTAACAGGCGTGTTGTAGTGGGCCAGAGAAAATAGGAAAATCCGATTGGTTTACGATGATGTGTTCCACATTAGATTTACAACGGCGGAGATGGGCGTGTAAACATCGTATTCAGTAAATGTTTTGCAACCAGAGAGAGATTACGAGCCGTTGGTTTAAAATATTTTGGGAATTAAATCTTGAACTCTAAAGTGGGTCTCGCGGAGAGCCCCCTGCAAAGGTGACAGCTGCGGTAAAAGTACGCGTCTCAAAGAACACAAGTGTTAGCACCCAGATTCGGTGTACGTAACACTTTTTATCTCAGTGAAATAAATAAGACAAAAACCTGGAAATTCGTGGTAAATTGCTTGAGCGAGGGTAAAAACAGACGCTTCTTTTTACTCTCAGGCAGCAACAGTCTTCCTGTAGCAAAACGTGATTCGTGATGCGAATGGAGCTTCTTCGATAATTCCAAATGGACACATCAGTGGGTGGACCCGACATTACCAAGGAGACATCACTGTAAGCAAATATACGGCTATAATAGGGTATAGTGTGTATACTGGTGCCTACCCTATAGGTGGTTACCCACTAGAGCTTTATGATTCTTATTCTGTCGATTGCGGCTGAAGTATAATATTATTGACTGAAGAGAATGTTTAAAGAATCTCGCAATTAAGATTAGTGAACAAAGATAAACCATTTGTATTACACGACCATGTTCGGTACCACACCGCAAGGGTGATGAAGGCAAAAGTTACATTTGAAGGCTTCCGGTTATCCCCCATATACGCCATCATCATCGCAGATCACTATTTTTTCAGGGTCTCGACAAATCCTTAAAAAATCATTCAAATTTCAGCAAAATGTCGAGATTGCCTTTCCGGAGTTATAGACTCTCGTATCCCAAACTTTCACAGTAGCGGGTAGATAAGTTATCAGCCAAATGGAAAAGTCCTAGATAATACT